ATTTAAGACCTTTCTTTCTAAAATGTTCCTCGAACCGTGATAGAAATTGATCTTAAAGTTTAAGAATTTTTTTAAGCCTTAATCACACATACAGTCATATCTGAGTTATATCACCACTGAGTTATATCCCAACCTGAATTATATCCCGACCTGAGTTATATCACTGTATTTTGGCAGATAAATTTCTTTTTTATATGGTTTGTATGTTGAGTTATATCCCCACCCTAGTTATATCTCCAAAAACAGTCTGGGAAAAAGGGGTGATATAACTCAGGTATGACTGTAATATAACTATTATAATATGATATATTTAAGTAATCCTACCTTGATTTATTCTAATTAAACAAAATATCCATGTTTCAATTTCAGTTGAAAAATGCTTGAAATATTTGTCAATAAGGATACTTTCTAAGATGCTAACTAGTTTCGGAAGTAACATTTCATCTGCAGCTATAATTAAATCTAAAATATTAACGTCTGTATCATAAATTACAGTTGAGACTTCACCAGTATAAATATAGCTGTAAAGATTATATATATTAAATTTAATCAAACTGTCATGTCAGAGATAGTAACGCGAAATTTACTCAAGAATTAACTTGAAGATTTCAGGTGAAATATCTTCTTTATAAAAAACAACTATCTCGTCAAGATTGTTGCAAATATTTTGATCGGATAGTGCAAACTTAAAATAATTACATCTATCCTTTAAAATTGATGTATGAACTTTAAACATTTTGCGATTCCATTCATAGCCTGCAATTATATGCATATCATTTTTAATTTCATTATCTAAAAAAATAAATGACCGCTCTTCTAAGGATGGGTCCTCAACTACATTTTGTCTATTATAAGTTATAAAATATGGTGGAATCATTGCGTTTCTAGTTAGTGTACATCTCATGCATAGTACAGGCGAATTTAAGACTTTGATTAGTATGTTATGTAAGGTGCTACAATGCTAATATTAATGCACAAGCTTTCGAAATATTTATAAAAGAAAAAAGTTTTTTAATATATTGGCAAAAAGAGACTTTCCAATAAGTAATACATTACGGCGCATTTTTACACTACCCTAAAATTTATGACGCATATTTGACGGACGTGTTAATATGAGTTAAATGATTTGACTATCGTATTTTTATCACTATATATATTTAAGAAATACATAAATATAAATAATTTTAATATTATCGATATTTGTATATAGGTTGACAATAA